CAAGACTCAGAGAGCGTCCTCCTGGTGAATGAAATCAGGTCTGGTGGTGGTGCCAGCTCTGCATCCAAGGGCAGCCCCCTCCAGGTCACCTTCCCCACTGAGACATTGAATTTATCAGAGAAGTGTATATAGCAACAAAAGGCATCAACCCTGGTGATCTTTCCTGGTACATTGGAAAACCGGTGCAATAGATAGGCATTCTACCTATTCAAGTGGAAAGGGGATCAACTATGCTCCAAAGGGCTAATTTTCTCTTGCCATGTGATGGGTACATTTCTTTCAGACTACTGAGGACTGTGTGGAATAGACACTGCGTTTTGTGCTGCCATCAGAAGTTGTACAAGATGAGTCTAATGAGACTGGAATCACAAACATGTCTTGTTTCTGGGTCACAGGAGAGCTACTGGGTTCTCAAAATAGAAAGATCCATCACTTTCTTTTCCTTTTTTCCTTTCTTTCTTTCTTGCTTTGTTTTGTTTTGTTCTTTTGGTGTCTTTTTTCATTTCTTTCATTCTCTTTCCAAATCTGGTAGAACTGTGTTTTCCTGTGGCTGCTCAGCTATCAAGAGTCTAAGGTTCTGGTACTAGAGCAGAATGTGAGACAACTACTAGGAACTAGATGGAGCTACTCTGACAGCTGCCTGCAGTAGGATTTCAAAGTGTCTCACTAAAGCATGAAAATGTGAATTTTTACTGTTGTGTATATATCGGGTTTGAAAATATTTAAAAGTCTATTCTTCTCTGTGAGAAGGGTTCTTATTAATACCAGGTATGTAGAAATGATTGCCAGCCTTCTCTTCCCCAGTGTTTCCTGCTGATAAGACATTCTTGGTTTAGATTTGTTGTCCGTCCTAGATTCACAGTTGATAATTCTTTAGCTGAAAATATGTAAACACTTTGAAATGAAAATGTATGTACTATTGAGAAAAAAGAAAACATATCTTCAGTTAAGAATATTCCTTTTCAGCGTGTGTACAAGCCAGATTTTATTTATGTGCTGATAGTGTTTCCGTGTATAAACACATCTGCTCCTTGCTAAGTACTTCAGCCCACGTCCTGCACACAGTTAGGCACACATTTAACAGTGCCCGTCAGAGTAGCTCTTCTGCTGCCAGGGAGACTCTCATGTAAAGTTAAGGACATACAGAAGTACTTTAATAACGGCCTAGAACTTTCAACCCCTGGTTAATAGTCTTAATATTCACTTTAGTTAAAGCATCACTGATGTAATAAAGGTATTTTTTCATAACATTTATCATTTTACTTTAAATAGTAAATAGAACTTTATGACTCTGTAATCTGATATTCCACCAAATAAATGTATGAAACCATGGAAGCAGAATCTTCATTTAAAAGCGTAAGTTATATAGAACCAGCTCCTGGTCTTGCACTCATTGTACATTATTTGTTCCTAGAGTTTTAATGGAAAAGACATCACCAAAAACAGCTGTTAACCAGTGACAAAAGGACTTCTGGTGTTTTATTTTGTGAGGTTAGATCTTGTTACAGAAGTACTGTTTACTAAAATAATTCTGTACAGATATTTGGGGATGTTTTGTCAAATACTAAGCATGTTATGCTGCTTAAAGTGTTCTTATGTGAAATGCTTTAATGTAATGAAAATCTTGAGCCTTATGTTGATGACATGTTTAAGCAGTTGTATTGACCAAAATGATTTTACAGATCACGATTAAATGGAAATGTTCTGCTTGAGCTCAAAAGTTTATGAGTCTGCCATTCAGTGCCAACTCCCAACTTTAACAAGCCACCCTTCTGGAACACCTTGTACTTAGCTGCTCCCAAAACCTACCAGAACAATCCTACAGAACAAACCTACAGAACAATCACCATGAGCAAGAAGGAGCCATCTTAGAAAACATGTGAAAGGTGTCACACAGCCATGAAAATCTCTCAGAACAACAGAAAAATCAAAAACCCCACTCAATTAAACCTCAACCTGCCTATTTTCCTCTAGCAGAGGAGTAGTAGAGCTTATTTGTATGTAGGAAGTTATGCACAAATATTGCAGCAGAAGCTACTGCTGCACTGATTAAGTAGAGAACAGTGCTACTGAAGTTCCTACTGTAGCTGCAGGTACATATCTGCCTTAGTTCTTTGCAATTAAAGCATTTAGCTATGGTCTGCTGCTTACTAGTGACCAACAAATAGCCCTCACTGTATTGCCTAAGAAAAGGAACAGTACCTGACAGACTATAGTTTCTAAATGAGAAAGGCCTGTGCATTACTGATGGAAAATAGTTTGTTGTGATAGACTTCTAAGCAAGAATAGAGCACCAAAAGAGGTGTTCTTTTTTCCCTTTGCAAAACCAAATGGTAAGCCTTCTCACCACAGCATTGCTGGTTTATCAGCACTGGACAGGACTCACAAGCCCACATCAGCACTAGTTGCCTTAGGAATGAATGAAAATCCCCAATCAACCCGCGTTAATGGAAGATGCATTAATTCACAATTCAAAAGTGTCTTATTCCAAAATCTTATCTCTGTGACTCCATCCTGTCAGTCCCACCACCCCCGGTCTCACACCCTTACTTCCAGCAGTCTGCTTCTGCCCACACCACAAACTGCAGCTTCACCAAACCTCATACCCCACACCTTTCCCCAGACTCCAGACCCAAACTCCATTTATTCCCCCATCCTCTGGCATGGTGTGAATAGGATGAGAGCCAGTATTGGTAGGAAACTGATTTCTATGAATATTTGTAAATCAATCTGAACCTATGATCCGTAAGTTAGCATTACAGTTGGATCCAGGTTTAAGGAACAGGATATAGTGTACTTAGGCTCCAAGCGTGAGCTGAAAGATCCTGTTACAAACTAAGCTTATACATCTCCACTGTCTGCAACACCAGTGCTATGTAATATATGTAATCAGTGCTGTAAGTGCAGTGCCAAAGTGATAACCATTCAATGTGACCATTATCTTCAAATGGCACCATGACATCTTGATCAAGAAGTCTTCTACAAAACTTTTCAGCCAATATTCTTCCGCAGAACTGCATATCTGATTTACTTAAGCAGATTTACTTTTCAAGTTTCAACATAACAACAGACCTTTCCACTGCTAGGCCCTGTTTTAGACTTGTCAGCTTTATCAGATATGAAAATAAAATGAAGTCAGAACCCCAAGCTTAATGAACCTCAATACAAAACTCACTCCTTACCTCCAGTTTTTTTCTACCCTCTAAAATTCAAAGAGCTACTAGAGTCACTTCTTTTAGAAAGTAAGCCCCCTAAACCGGGACAGTGAATCTGCCAAAATGGAACTTCTGCTACTTAACAGGCCAAGAACTTCAATCCACTTGAGAATGTGATAGTTAATATGACACCAACCTACCGTATATCTGCATAGTCCAAGCCTACATGCTTCTGCTTTCCTGAACCCCAGTACTATGTAAGTTCATAGCTATTATATGATCTAGAAATAAAACTCATTTTTACCTTCTTCCCATTACTTTTAAGATCTGGGGGACACTAACCTCATGTTGCCAGGTACATTTTCAATGCTACCCTTCTCATCTTGATCCCAAACATCAACAGTTATTCAAGGAATTTTTAGGGATGAGAAGAACAAAGTTCATTTTTTTGCCTTCCATAACCTGTTTTAAAATCCAGTCCCATACTGAATTATTAAATTAGAGTCAGTGTTATCTGATCCATACTTTACCCTCTAATATTGTTGGAAAGTATTCTCTCTCCATGTAATCTATGTATTTCTGATTATTATCAGAAAGTAATGCTTCCTATGTATTTCCATGGATACTACAACGGATACAAAGAAAACAGTAACACTCTGACAGAGCAAATTCTCAGATTTGCAGAAAAACATTATTTTTCAACACAGTCATCACCATTAGCCACGTATTTTCACCAGCCATGAATAAGAGCCCGCACGCTGCACTCATTAAAACCTGCCCCTGCAGAGGTGACCCACTGTTTCACAGTTGCTATGATGGCGTTGTTGCTGCTGAAACACTCCACCTTCTGTCTCACGGTGCCAACATCTGCTTACTGGTATCTACCAACATTCAGGAAGCATCGATCAATGTCAATGGGTGCCAATTTTTTTCTGCATAGAGGAATTCAGTGAACACACCTCTGCTTTATATGCACTTCCACTTCAGATGCCATTTTGTTACGCTGCCTTTCTGCTGCTGTCTGTTCCATCTGTTGTTCCCATGGTGGAAAGGTTCAACCTCTACTGTTGTATCACCAACATCTGCTTCTCAAGTCGTAGGCAAACACAATAAAATAGGAGACATCACCTTCAAAACAGCTGTCATCTGTTCAACTTTCAAAAGATCATTATCTCATTCATATACTCTGTTTCAGTATCTGAAGTTGACTACCAGTCAGACACCTCAGGCTTCTTTTTTACAGTCAATGGAACTAATTAAGCACCTTGATTCAATTTTTCCAAAGATTTTTATCTCACATAAGGCACATGAATGGCCCTCTAAATTATACATTTCTTTCCAGGTATAAAATTTTCCAAGGGAAAAAGTCAGATTTAAATTCTCAGCTGTGTGTATTTTGCTCTTTAACTACCTTGCTACATTTCAGCATTTTCATATATGATTCATATGGAAGACAAATATATAAAAGCTACTGAAGCCATTGACTGTGAGTGATGATTATGAATAATAAATTTCAGATAGTAAAGTAGCAGTAGTATTTCCCTTTTTGATAACAAAGGCTTTCTCCTTTGATCACATTCTTTTTGATACTCCTGAGATGCTCCAAACAGCTTACCACTACCTTTTATTAAATATTTTTCTTGAGATGGCTTTAAAAAACAAAACAAACAAACAAACAAACAAACAAACAAACAACAAAAAAAAAAAACCTACAGGTAGTGAACACAGAGACAGAAGAAGCCAACTGATTATATGACTAACATCCTAAAATGGTCAATGGTGACATTCTTGTTACTACCTAAAGAATAAACTACCTAAAGAATAAATAGGCATCACTATACAGCAGAGAAGTCATTATTTTATTCAAACATATCCAGAAAATCCTGTACATGCAAAACATGGCATGCTGTACAAAAAAGGAGAGAGGTTGCAGTATCAGGAGAGTATCAGTAGTGAAGCTTCCTCCCTAAGAGTAACATGTTCACAATAAATTATCTGCTAACTGTTTCATATATTACTGACAATACCTAGAATTTATAACCTAGTAACATCAGAATAAAAACACACTTAGTACTGGGAATGGGAACAACACCACCTCCAGCCCAACACATCTGTTGAGCCTGATGGTACAGATGTGCACTGCCGTAACTTTGACCAACAGCACTGAAGTCAACAGTAATTTTGCAAATCATTTCAGTGGAAGCAGAAACAGTGATAACAGTGACCTCTGCAAGGAATAAAGGAGTCCTTTCCACATGAGTAAATACACAACAATGATACAATTACAGAACGCAAAGAAAGGAAAGATTTACTTGATTACAGCCAAACTACTTCAAAATGGAAAACAGAAAATGTCTTACAGCTTTTTTGCATGTTTCCTTTTCCAAACAGAGAATGTCTCTTCTTTGAAGAGAGTTGTCAAACTTTTCTAACACCTCCTATTGCTGAACAGACTGTATTATTTGTTACAAAACAAAACAAAAACAACAAGATGAAGAAATTATACAGCAGAGCATCTTAAACAAGAATCAGATACCTATTCAACGAGCATTTAAAAATCTATCTCAGAACTGAACAAACAAACACATAATATGGTGATGTCTTACATTTTTTTAATAGTCATTGTAATTGTAATTACTTTGGATACTTAAATGTGAAAAAGTGCATATTATTTGTGTGCATGCACAGAGATCTAAAAAAATATCCATGTATTTGCAAAAATATAATGAAAGCTTAGTCACGTGAGAACGTGGAAATTAACTCTTTTAAAAGGATAATTAATTTCTACAAAAAACTTAGCTGTCCTCTTAAGAATTAGCAATATTCAGTTGAACTATGCTTTGAGTTGTGTGACTTTTCCACAATAAACATTCTATTGCAAAATTCACCATGCTTCATGGGCAACAATAATATTATTTTTTTTTTAAATAGAAATCAAGTATTAAAGATGTAGAAATTTCAAAAGGTTTCACTATTATTTTAAGTATTTTTTTCCATTCAAAATATTTCAAAAGTTAAGTGAAAATATGTTCCCAACCCTGAATTTTTGAGAATTCTTCAGTAGACGATTATCCAGTTCAGTCTGGAGGCTCTCATCTCTATCCTGTCTCCTCTGACAACAAAAAGAGGGTAGTCTTAGCAAAGAATACATCAGAGAAACTGCCTGATTTTATTTCTCTAAATGTTTCATACAAGGAACCAGCGGCAATCTTCCCTCTAAACAAAGATGAAGTAAGTTTATTCAGTTATGAATATCCACCACAGCATCTAAAATCCAAAAAGAATAAAAATGGAGACTCAGCCAATGCTGCCCTGAACAACCGAGACCATAATTTAGTTGGCAGCCTGCAAGAACTGTTAAAAGGAAACTGATCCCCTTTATAAGACTAGCCTGACTAAGGAAAGGCTACATAAAATGTAGAAATATCTATTTCCAGCTCCCAACATTTTACTTGCGGTGGTATTTGTAGTACAGCACTTAAGAAAAGCCCAGTTTCAGTCTCAGCTGAATCTTCGCTCTTCTAGTGAAACATTTAATAACAGTGAAGCATCCAGGTGCTTGTTTAGTATAGCACTGCCTTTCATCTGAAGTATTTAACCATTCCCCTTTGAAAGCAGCATGAAAGACTTTACTAATTTTGTTTGACTACAGATCAGATCTCCAGTCCATCACAGACACAACAAACAAAAAAGTTAAAGTCCATCTCTGCTTCACAGAAAACACCACCATAGGAAAATTAATCTTAATGAAAATAAAAGCTTCTGGTAATAGAGAACAGTTCACCATATCTGGAAGATAAATAATGCTAATGATTAAGGATTGAAATATATATTTTGAAATCCCTTTTTCTTTTGCATTTTAAATAAGTTCATTAATTAGTCAGAAAATGTAGACATTTACCTGTAAAATGGTCAACAAGAGAAAGTAGTCAAGTGTTTTAACATTACATTTCTGAATGAGATTTTCAAAATAAAATCTTGGATTTCCTGTCGAAAAACAGCTCACATCATTTTTTTCTCACTTTACAAAAGAAAAATAATTTCAATCTTTTATTTTTGCTTAAAAAAAAAAACAAAATCCAATGTGATAAACGACATTTGAAACAGCACCAACAATCCACAGGGCTGCCCTATCGGGCTTTGATAAAAATGGATTCATCAGGAGTTGAAGTGCAATTCTCTTTCTCAGTAACAGTCTCTACTGTGCCTGAAGCAGACACGATCACTACAGTTTTAGCTTCTGAAAGAGCCTTCTCCTTCTCTGCAATGGCAGCACAGACTGCCACAATTTCATCACTTTCAAAGTCATAGTCTGGGATCGATGCTTGTGCAACCTCTTTTCCTTTGGCCTGTGATTGCACTGCTTCAGTCTGTGTTGCCTTCTGCTGTTCATGTAGTTTTCTTGCCCAAGAAAGGTCCTCCTTCCATACTTCAGGGTTCATTGGAAAGATGTGTAAGGATACCTGAAAACTCCGGATTGCCTGCAAACATAATAAGGAAGAGGGATTGGAAAGTTTGAAGCCTACATATTTCATCACAGAAATTTAGAGGGAAAGAAAGAACTATGTACATCATTTGAGCACAGCAAAAAATGATTTTATTGCAATCTGACTTCAGAAGAATATTCTCCCTCAGCTCCAAGTTCAATAGCAGCATTAACCCCAAACAACACTGCATGCAAGTGTCTGAAAACACCAGGAACACAAAAGCACAATCAACAGACCAGGTATTTGGCAACAAAGGTACAAATAAGAGTTCATAAACAATACTGTAAATAAGTAGAAGACAGAATTACTGCACTACTGTATTAGTCTAAAAATCAGTACCAGTGGAGAAGAACCACTGTTCTGCAGTTGTTATGATGGCATTGTTGCTGAAACCAACCCACCACCCTCACTGTACTCATATCCACAGTTTGGTCTCCATAAATGTTTGTAAGTTTTAATGAATGTCAGCGGGTGCAATTTTTTCAGCATTGAAGAATTCAATTCCACCCTTTGGCTTCATGTGCATTTCCATGTCAGACACCGTGTCAGACTGCCCCCCTCTGCTGTCATCTGTCACACAGCAACAACACGAAATGGGATATTAGTGGGAAGGTTCAGCCTCTGCTGCTGTACCACCAACATCCATCTCTGAAGGCTTGGGCCAATGTAGTAAAATAGGAGGCATTACTTTTGGAACAGCCCTCATATGTTAACAGTGAAAAGGTCACAACTGACTTCATCTACTGTGACTTACAGGCATGTAAGTATTTTACATCTGTGATTTTATGGTCAGTTATGGAAGTAGCCATCTGAATGATCAAATTCTTCTATGATGAAGCATACAAGCCTTCTCATGGGGTGGAAAATCAATAATTATACTGCTGGCAATATTTGGGAACAGTTCTAACAGCTTGCATACAATGAATATAAAGACATGAGCAATTATCAGATACTGTGTTCATTCATTATTTATAAATACAAAAAGAATGGAAATTAATTTGAAAAATGACTACTTTTCATCTGGATTGACAGAAACTGCCAGTTCTTTCTGCTCCTGGCCACAGTAATATACAAATTCCACATGATGTGGACTCAGCAGGAACAGACTAGATAAAGATCAGATCTTAAGAAATGCTGATTGTGCTATCAGTATTACTGAAGTTGTAATAGGCAGCCTTTCAGTTCCAGGAAAACGGAAGACTTTATAATTGGTCCTCAGCCAGATATGAAGTACAGGAGCATGCTGGAACTTTAAACAGAAGAAGTAGCGCAGTTTAATTCTTGCAGAACAATGTCATTTTATTCAACTTTGCTCCTTTTCATTTCCAGGGATAGATGAGCTACAAGTAAACACTAAATGCTCTTTTTTTTCTGTTAAACACAAAATATAAACAAACACCATCTGCCTTTAAGCCTTCCAAGGAAGAGGTCTCTTAATTAAAACCCTTCTATATAGTTATGGTAACTTTTCTATATAGTTATCTTCATGCATATTAAGCGAACTGAACACAGTAATAAAAAAGAGATTAATATAAGGCAACATTTAATAAGCTGAAAAAGCTGCCTTGAGAAACATACAACAGAAAATGAGCATCTTTGTAAATTTATTAGAAAAAAATATTCTGAATATCTCTTTTTTTTTTTTTTCTCTCTATTTCTCATCCCACTTATAATTTTAATAATGACAAACTACTGCTGAAAGCAAATTATCTTGTAGTAAAGCCATTCACATGGATCAGTTCAGGAAGTGCCACTTTCACATTCTGTGCTGACGGAGATTATACACAGCTCACACCTCACATTAGGGCTTACCCAACTCACACCTGACACTTGGGCTCACAGTAGGTTTTCATTTTACATCTGGCAAGAGTCTACCTGACCTATTTTAAAAGTTGGCCAACAGTTGAGATGTACATACCACTGTAAGTAATCTTTCTCCGTATCTAACAACACTTACTGATGGACTTTTTTCCCTAACATTCAATGCACCATTTTATTTCAATTAAAATCTGTTATATCTTGTGCTATTCACAACGACTACAAGTCGTTTTCATGGAAATCTCTACTATATTTAAAGACACTGACCAAATGAAATCCAGATATTTTCACTCTAATTACTTTATATAACTTAATCTGAATAGCAAATGCCTTTATCTACTGCAACTTTTAACAGGCTTTATTTTTCTATGCACTTTTTTGTTCCAGTTATTTCTTCTTTTCAGCAGCGACTTTTTAATTGAAAATTATTTCCAGCAAAAATACTAATTCTGCATTCAAGAATAAGCTGAACACTTTATTGTCTGTAGTTCTTAAGTTCATAAATCCATTTTGTTCAGAATAAATCCATTTTGTTTGCGAGACACTGGGGCAAACTCTGTGGATGCATCTGCCTTAGGCTGGCTTTACCTTAGAGATCTGTACAGTAAGCTCTACTGAATACATAGGCATAATCCAGTTTGATCATAGGAACAAAAAAATTATCCCATCTGAGAAGTTGACACATTTGACTCCTACCAAATGATACTGCTAAAGAGGACGTGTTCTCAAGAGTGGATGTGGATCTGCTGGAAATACAGCTGAAAGAGCATTTAAACTCTCAGAAACTTGTTTCCTTTTCTGCAAATTGAAAATAAAAATCAGCTCTCAGTAGAAGGGACTTTCATGCATTAAAAATGCGTTATAACCTTGTATCACTGAGAGGTACCTACTCTGGAGAAGGATCATTAAAAGCTGTTGAAAAGAATTCAACAGAACTCCTTTTCATCTGACAAAGTCTTTTATTTTCTCTCAAACTTTAGCTTAATGCTTCCCAAATCCTATACATTAGAACATGTATGACGCTGGCATGTAGTTCTGTTTAGCAGAACAAGAAATATGTCTTGTGCTTTCTTTTTTTTTTATCTCCCTATAGAAATGTCTTTTATCAAAACCTGATGCAAATAGTGTAATTTAGTGTTTTTGTTTCACACTTCAAATGAAATTCTAGGCCAAAATTACAAATCAAGTAGCTATTTTTCCAATTGCAGTGCTTCCTTTTAATTTCATTTGTGCACATAAGAAGAGTTCTGACTATACTCATATATTAAAGTTAAATATCTTATCAACATGCTTAAATAACTACTCATATATTAAAGTTAAATATCTTATCAACGTGCTTAAATAACTATAAAATAATCTATACATTATGTTGTAAAACAAAAACTATCACAGCAGTGTAGTTAAATATTTTCATTTCATATAAGTCTAAAAAGAAAATGTGAGTTATCCGTCCACTCAAGAATTTGGCAGGAACACAACCAGGTACCAGTTTACAAATGCTAAATATAAAATGAAACCTTGTAACACTCTCATAGATTAACAAATATATTCTGTTAAAAATGTAATAATTAGTCTTTGTGTAACTCCCATCGCTATATAGAAGCCCTGACACAGAAAAACATATTCTCCACAAATGAAAGAAATAAGCACGCATAGCTGGTTTCCATTTACACATCTGCCCACTCAACTTTACAGTTATCAATACTCCAGATTTGAAAATGAGGACTAGTCCAATGTAAACTTATGTCACAGAATGCACAAGTTTGGCAGGACCTCTGGGTCCACCTGGTCCAACCCTGCTCAAGAAGGGACACTGCGAGCAGTGTGCCCAGCGCCATGACCCAGTGGGTTTTGAAGACCTCCAAGCTGGGAGACTCAGTTGTTTTCAGTTGGTTATTTTTTTTAATGCTGCATTTGTTGTGTGCTTTTTGCTTTGTGGTTCATTTATTTATTTATGGTTTTTGTTTGTTTGTTTGTTTTTTGTGAAAGTATGCCTCGCTTTCCCTCATGGAAAAAACTGTTCCAATGAAGATTATTTGTGTGGATTTGTTAGAGTATTATCAACAATACAGTAAAATTCACTCAAAAACGTTTACAATTACAGAAATAGAGTAAGCTCAATTATGCACTTGTACAGTTTCTGTATTCACAGTGATATTTACTCAGGTGCACTCTTATAAATCAGTTTCTAGAATGTAAGAAATTACATCTTACTTGATATGCACTACGTTCTGCTTGTTTGTAATTAACTCTTACTAGTGAGGTGATTTACTAAATTCAGGGAAAAAGAGTGCATAGCTTCTATAAAAGTTAAATAAATTGGGACTACTTTACCTCATTTAGTCTCTGCCACAAGTTTAATCCCCCACAAATCTTTCATTTGCAAGAAAGAAATATATTACTCACAATATAGATTAGTTTGTTTGGAAGTTGTGTTTGAGACAGAGAAAACAAAATCAAAATACAGTACATCTTTTCCTATGAAAAGTACATCATTCTCCGTGAATTAATAAAAATATTTATGACAGACCCTTTGGCAGGATGTGGGCAGTGAGGAAATATAGCGGAGTGGAGAAAGGGAGATTTGAAACAATAAAGCACTGAAGCTGCTCTTGAGAAGGGCAGGAGTTTCCAAATCTCAGACATTACAAAAAGCACTGACGTTCATGCTTTATTAACACTTCTTTGTAAAAAATTTAATACAGTGAAAGATGAGAATATCATGGCAATGAAAGGCCAATGGGAAGAGTATAATTACAATAGATAATTTGTTCAAGAAGTCTCCGCAAGTTCAATATTTATGAAGTTATTTAACCTTGTAAGGTTTCTCCAGTCTTTTCATAAGATTCCTTAAAAATTCCTCTGTTTGAAAATAGTGAGCATTATCTGAAGCTTATAAAAATTCCCAATGCTATCCTTTGTACGTGAGAGCACTCTCATTAGGAGGCAATTCAGTATGCCTTAAACACACAAAAAGCAAATAATGCCTCATGTTAAAGCACTGGAGATGCCAACAGAAGGTTACCCACCACCAGGCTCCCTGCTCTGACACCTCAGTGTCAATACAGCGTAACTAAAGGTGCACCTATACGTGTGCTTCAGTTCAGATTCACAATGTGCTTTGATGCAAGTCTCTGTTCCAACTTAAAATGCTTTGGTTAGCACTGGGGAGTTAGACAACCCTTCTGGTTAAATTCCATGTTCACTCCAAGAAAGCCCCTGAAATTCTCCAAACAGAGCTAATCTGAATTAAAACAAAATGAACACAGAGTGGATATTAAGTCCCCAGCTCTACTTACTGAAGATATTTGCTCTTGTTGGAGTCATGCAACTGGTTAATGCAGCTGAAGCTTGCATGGCCTGGTGTGCAGACCTGGTGGTGTAACTAAAATGGGTATATCTGTAATTTTCATTGCTGTTATTGTAGCTTTTTTTTTTTTTTTCTTTTCTTCTTTTTATCTTTTTTTTTTTTTTTTTTTTTTATAGAATAAGCAGCACCAGCTACCTGGGATTCTTGCAGGAAATAACTTCGAATTTCCTGAGACTAATGTATTTAAAATCTCAGACATAATTTACAGTGGCAACTTTAGGCACTGAAAAAAAAGAGGATTTATAGATTGTTAATGCAGACATGACAGACCATCCGCCCTTGCCTTTCTACAACACAAAAACAATGGAATGTCACCAGCTATTTGACATCATGCAGACAGATATGGATTTATATTAAATATTCCCTGTTTTGATACCGTGACAACAGAAAGCAGAACACTACACACACATCTGCAACACTCATCTTCTACTTCATGTTATTCTCATGTTCTGCCCTTTTAAAATTTTTTTCAAATACTACTGTAGTTTTTGAAAAAATCACGCTCTCCATGATTTGTTAGCCTCACTCAAAAACATCTTAATTTATGCTTGAAAAGTTTTCAGTTCAAACACTGCAACTTTCCAGAAATACTCTAATAACAATATTATTCATTTCTATAAAACCAGCACTCAGCTACTCAAAATGAAAACAAAATAAAACCACTATCTTTTTTATCCGAGAGCCCATTACAGTTTATTTTTCTAATAGACTTTTGTGAACATATCTGGACTACAAAACTCACTAACTCTGTTTCCACACTTTAACATGCAGACAGCTATTTAGAGTTGGATGACCTGCAGACTGCGGGTGATTTGATGTAAGGGATGTTTCCTTTTGCATCACTTAATATGCCCAGTACAGCACCATGGCATTCAGCGGGAGCTAGAGAAAAGCTGTACTCCAGCTACTGAGGAGCACCCCAGCCTTTTCATTCTCTTATTAGCAAAAGAATCAATTTCATCTCCCATATGGAGTCATGGAGCCACAGGGATGCGCGGAAGCGCAGATGTGATTTGCTGCATTTGAAGCAAGAAAGCAGGAGCAAGGGAAAACAAGATATCTTCTAGCAGCCAGGTATAAAACTGAGGACAGGTATCACCTGGGACTTTGCAGTACTTTCAGCTCTGAAGTGTGGTGTGCTGTGTTGCAACAGTACAGGGCCTAGGATGTAGCATATGCAGTTACATCATTGCAATTATTCTGCTGCATAAAGCCACCACTTAAACGCAGCATATAACACAGAAAGCTTTGAGCTAGGCAGGTCTTACACAAGCCTGGCAGCAAAACCACACAGGAAGCATTTGTGATAAACAACCAAGTAGAGGGGCATACTGGTAACTAACAGCAAACATCTTTTTCCTTGCCTGCTTTCAGGCTACTTAAGGCTATTCAACTGCCTTGGTATTTTTGTGCTTCCACTCTCTCGCACACAGTTCAGAGGATGTAGTTCACAATTTTAACGTGTCAATGTTTATTTTCCTACCAGTGCTATCTCTCCTAATCCCAGCTGGGCACGTCCCAAAGTCTGCCAGGCATCCCAGGAACGTGGGTTCCTCTGAACAGCCATTTCTGCTGCATGCACTGCTGGGAACATTTCATGTAAAGACATCAGGACCTATGGCAGAAAAATAAGAGGAATAAGAATAAGCAACTGAAAACAGAATTAGGTTTTCTGGGATTAGTCATGTAACCACCATTTTTCCAGTATTAAAGACAGTTTCATCTCACCTATCATTTCAAAGTCAGCTGCCTGTGACACTTATACTTGCTCCATAGCTCATGAAGAGAAACAGGCATGCTTCAGGATGATTCATCTTAACTGTTTCAGCAATTATCCTAGAAGTAGATTAATTGCTTTGAAAGGCATCCCCTCTCCTTCCCTACAAATCCCACGCTCTGTAAAAGAGTATCAGAATTGTGGCATTACACCATGGGACAACATTGAGAATTAAGCACAATAAATAAGCAAGTATTGTTGCAAAACTCCTGAGTTTTATTTTTTCTTTTTAATAGAAAATTGAAATCCAACCAATAAAGTTACAGTGCACATGATAAAATTATGGAAAAAAATGGTAATGGTAAAAAAGAAGAATGAAAACTACAGTAAAACAACTGCAAAAATGCTATACTTGAGAGACAGCTTGCTGTTGAAGGATGCTTTACTTAGATATGAACTCATTTACATAAAAAAAAATTAGAATAGTCATTTCTGAACATGGAAATCACTTTCACTTGGCACTACAGGTTGGTATGGGTCTGTTACTATTTTATCCCTCATACTGAATCTTCATAACTTAGCCTATAAATCATAGCTAACAACACGTAACGTGGCTTAACGCTTGCCTTGTTTTTCCAAGACCTCCATGAAATTGGCATGTTACCTGAAGACCTACATCACTCTGAGATCATGACTTCAGACACCCACATGCTATGGTGATAGATAACAGCAAAAGAAACAATGACAACTGCATTCCAACAGTGTGATGAAAATGTTAACCACACAAGTAAGACTCATGCGTGGCTAGCCACTTTCTTCCCAACTGGTCAACCCTCAAGCATGATAAATAACAGAACACAACAGCACAGCTGGCTTAAGTGCAGAACCTTACTTTCCCATAGTATATTAAACAGACAAATATGAGTGTGGTGTAAAAGAGGATTCAAATTCAAGCATCTTGAATTAATATTAATTAACTTTAATTCACAAAGTACTTGCACAGCATTAGGGCAGCTACAGTAAATAGCTTTTACTGCAGAAAGTTAACTGTGCACGCAAGAAATACAGTAAGCAAAATCTCCTTTAAAGCCTTTGGATCCGTACCTCTGGTGTTTTAATAAGACTTCTTCTGAAGAGCAGTTGCATGGTTTCACTTTAACTCAACAGGCTACACACTGGAAGTTAAAAATATCTGAACTGGTTTCACTTTAACTCAACAAGCTACACACTGGAATTCAAAAGTACCTAAAAAATTTTAGATACAACCCCCCACAGCTGTAAGTCACATCATGTCATTTTCTCCTCTTTTTTTTTTCAACAGTTATCAACAGCCGTGCTTTCTCAGGAAAAAAAATAATGTAATGAGTGCATTTTTCCAAAACTTTCAGTTCAACTGCATTTTTCTGTGTATCTTCTTCTGACTGAAGCAAATCCATGAACTGAGTCAAACTGTTACCAGTGGAGAGGTGTACATCCCACCAAGACTAAGTGGTCCTGCACCTCTCAACTGGCTTTTACATTCATCTCTTAATGTGTTTATTCTCGTAACAAAAGGTAAACCCAAGTATATAATCACTTGAACAATTTTATGTATCTCTGAGTATTCAGTATTTCTTACAAGTACTTTCTTCTGCAACAACTCCAAAATATTATAAATATTTAGGATATAATTTGTAGTGTTGAATGAATTTTACTGCCATGTCTACTGAACTACGACCTTGCTAATAATAATGCAACCCAATTACTCCACTTCCACCCATGTAAAACTGCTGTGTATTAATTTAGATATCTGATTTAAAAGTGCTCTTCCAAATCATGATGGTAAGCACTGTGCTAATAGCAACTATGGCACCAGTTTCTCAAGTTACTAAAAAATTAATCTGAATGTTCCAATTAGCAATCCAGCACAATTACATTTTTCAGTTATTAATAAAGGGTCACAGCTATACTTACCAGCCATTATGTAAAAATAATCTTAATGCACATTGTTTTCATGCAATTTTGTTTTCGAGCAAAAAAAGTCCATCAAAATGAACATGCAATGGCAGACCTGAACGTGTGCAGCTTTGTCTTAGGTTACTCTACATGTGACATTATCGTCACTTTAATAAAACAGACTGCACACAAATTTACTTTATCATCATTTTAATAATCTTTATATTTTGGTTCCTTTTATTTATTTCTTTTTTTTTACTGTCACTCTGAGTTGATCAAACATATTAGCAGACTGGTCTACTTTTCTGCTTTCCATTAAGACATTTCTAGACTTCGTTCATTCCAGTCCATCTGCTTGAAATACTTGAGATGATCTATGATCATCTTTCCTTCAGATGTGCAACTGAAACAGGAATCTGTCAACTGTTAGTGGTCCTTACACCTGCAGTATTAGAATGCTTGCTGCTAATCTTATCTCTTAATTTTATCCCTTCATTATTGCAATCAGTTCTTATATTAAGATATTTGGTTATACTTGGGTATTTACCTTCACTACTTTGAAATAATTCTTCTGAAGAAAACTGAATAAATAGAAATTACCACCCCCAAAGGCTCCCTCCAAAATAAGCACTCTTTGATTTGGCTGAATTCCATTCAGAAGGAACTCCTCCAACAAGAATGCATCTTGCTGGGAATTCTTGTCAGAATCCAGACACATACAACTAGAATACATTATCAGCAACTTTGTGTAAAGCTCAAGTTACACTCAAACCTATTTCAATGGTGGGAATTTTTTTGGTAGTGAAGACGAATAATTGCACCCTTTGCTAGTCACGTCCACAAAAACTCATAAAAACTCATATTACTAGTGAAAGCAGGAACAAGAAAACACTTTAAGCCACAAATCGTATCACAGAATCACACAATGGCCTGGGTTGAAAAGGACTACAATGATCATCTAGTTTCAACACCCCTGCCACAGGCAGGATTGCCAAAACTGTTAGAATAAATCAGACTTGTCAGAGTCTTTATTTAAAATGGTTTGTTTTTTTTTTTTTTTTTAACAGAAAAAAAAAGACATTCAGTTGCACTAGGGTATTTTTCAATGACCAGATAAATAGCATGATCCTTCAGAAAAATGCCAATATTACCCTGTGTTTGAGAGAATATCAACCTTTTACTTGCCATAATTATACTGGGGAAAACCTCCATGAAGAGACAGTCCTATTAACAAAACAGATCTTTGTTTTAAAGCAAGATATGCCAGGAAAAGGCTATTTTGCCAAAATCACCTGCCTGTAAAGTGAGGATTAAGATATATTTACTAGTAAATGTCCCATCTAAGAGCTGACTCCCTCAGACTCTGTTTCACTTCTGTTACTCTAATTTCTTGTATCAATTTTCTTTTGCAAACTTCATTAGCAAGGCAGCATTCAGATTCCACAGCTAAGTAATCTTATCACATATTTGATTTATTTCTAGTTGTAGTGAAGTTTGTATCATTCATAGACATACATCTGTGAAGTCTTTATTTTCATGAGTGAAATGAACCAATCTCTTTAAAACATAAAATGTGTATCAGTTTAATAGCTTGCACAGCAGAAGTAACATTAGAACATTACATAATTACTGTAAATCAGTAAATCAGTAAATCAGTAAAACATTAGAACGTTACATAATTACTGTAAATCAGACAAAATGGCCAATATAGAGACATTACAAGAAAGCTACAAATACATAAAAATATAAAAACACAATTCTGCAGAATCAATGTAATACATACAGCTACAATATTGACAGAGAATACACAAAGAATCTGGTAATTCCTTTACTGAATTTCATCGACTGCTGCACAGACTAAATGCAGTTCAAGACCACAAGAACTTCCAAATAGGCAGATGCTGTACTGTAACCCTCTCAGTAAATCTCCCTCCTCTTAAACTTACACAGGTACTGTGTTTGTGCTGTAGCACAAACTATTTTGCTTGGAAGTAATACTTTGTTTTAATTAGTAAACTTCTAGAGTTTTGTTTTGTTTTGTTTTGCTATCCACAGAAATGTATAATAATGCCATTTTAAAATCAACAGATCTCAATACTCGTTGGTAGCACAATTTCAGCCCGTCACATGAGAACAGCATCTCAGGACTGTCTGTCAGAAGAGTACGTTAAATTTAGTTCAGTTCACACCTACACTGAGTTCACAGAATCTGGATGTTCTGGGTTGGAAAGGACATTAAAGATCATCTTGTTCCAAACACCTGCTGTGGGCAGGGTTGCCACCCACGAGATTATGCTGCCCAGGGCCCCATGCAGCTTGGTGTTGAACACTTCCAGGGATGAGTTCAATGACTGTAAAAATCATGTCAGCCAAAGATCTGATCCAGCAAACAGATTCCAGTGGAGCCAGAGAAAAAATAATTCCTACATCTCTCTTTTTTTTTTCCTATATTTTGTCATGGATGGATGTGCAGCAGTCAGTCTGTTTTCAACTAACTGCCAGACATGTAGACCTTGTATTAAACTAAATTTCATATTCATCATAAACATAAAATTTCCAAAGATCATACATCTGGTAGATATAAGCCAGCAATTATTGGCTGATTTGTTATAACCTTAACTGGGGATTATGAAATCTGTCCATTTCTTAGGAAGCTTGTCAATTTTTTAAGTATGAAGAGAGATGAGTGGAAGTTGAAATTATTTCTTCACTGAGCAATGGATTTCTTAATCCTTAAGAACAGTGGTTAGAATGATTTAAATAACGGACTTGGCATATATGTAGCTGAAATCCTGCTCACTGGATGCAAATTGAGGATGCTGGATGGTACACAAAGTAGATCAGACAGCTGATAAACAGCCAGAAAGCTTACTAAATTTAGAGAACTGTCTTTTCTGTTGTTGTTTTCATTTGTATTCACTCATTTCTACAAATATCTAAAAACAACTATACTGTATACTTTG